AATAGATATCTATGAAATGGGTGGCAATCAGTGGATGAAATGAATGTGGCATGGCGTCGTGTGACTGTGTGGATGGATGGATAGATAGACATAGACAACAGACAGCAAAACCAGGATTGATTGGCTGCCGTGAGCGAGCGAGTGAATGGCGACCACCTGACCAGGAGAACGCAGCAGAGTGCGCAGAACCTGGCGACAGACTGACAGACTGATAAAAGAAACCATCAGTGTGTGTGGGTGTGTGGTGTGGTGACTATGCAGAGGAAAGAAAGAGGCACAGGACGGACGCACCCCACAGACAGACAGACAGACAGACGGCGAAAGGGAAAGAGCCACGGAAGAAAGAATGACGCAAAAATAGAGCGAGCAGCTGCAATGCGTCGGTGTGGGGGCACTCAAGCACTCGCCTGGGCGTGTCCCCTCTGTACACGGCACGGACACCAGACCGTACGTCATGGCCGGCCACACACCACCCACTCACTCGACCCCACTCACTCAACACCCATGGCATGCACTAGTGCCACACACACACATCCAGTAAGGCTTGCGATAAGATAGAGGACAGATCATCAGAGTCCACACACACTCGCCCCGAGGCCTCAAGGCCTCTCAAATCTCCGCCCCCTCCCTCTGCCTACGATCGATATCTATCTATTACCCATCCCAACACTCCTTGTCAGCCATCAGTCAGTCAAAGCACAACGAAATGACTCCCTCCCCCACCCACTGTGTTTATGCCTTCTTGGGCGCAGGAGTGGGCTCCTTCTTCGGTGCTGGTGGAAGGTCCTTCTTCTCGGGGGCGGGGGCGGGTGCCTTCTTGGGCTCTGGCTCGGGAGCCTTCTTAGGCGCAGGAGTGGGCTCCTTCTTTGGTGGCGGGGCGTAGTCCTTCTTGGTAGGGGGCGGGGCAGGCTTTGACACATACGTTGTCACGGGGTGAGTCGTCTCAGTGCCTGCATGACACCACACGCCACACAGGAGACATGTGTATGGAGTCTATGTCTAAATTGGTCTCTGTGTTGATTGCCGACTCACCCTTGCAGACGCCGTCGGCGAGTGTGTATCCCTTCGGGCAGTAGGGCGATGCGGGCACTGAGTGTGTCTTGGTGCACTGGGCGTGGCCGCGCATCTTCTTCTTGCCGTGGCTTTCACTCATCGAGTAACCCTGAGAGACACAGCCGCACACGGAAACATGAGACACCGGGATGGTCTGTGGCTTGGTGCGGTGTTTTGTCGCGTGTTGATGCATCGACTGACCTTGGGGCAGACCATCGAGTACGGGGCGTGGTCTGACTTGATGCACTTGCCATGGGTCATGCTGTAGCCGTGGGGGCAGGTGTGCTGCTTCGGCGCCTGAAAAAAGAACCACAAACACACCAACCAACACAGCCATACGTCGATGGATGGATGGATGGATCGTGAATTCCCACCCACCGAGTGTGTATGCTTGCACGGAGGCGCTGAGCCATCTGGGCATTTCTCGACAGCAGGGGCGGAGTGCGACGACACGCACTGGGCAGGGTGCTTCTTGCCACCATGCGACATTTTGTAGCCCTCCGGGCACACAGGCTGCAACACACAACCAGACAGAAAGATGCAAGCAACACAAGCAGGGAGGGAGGAGTCAAACAGGAATGTGTGTGGTCGGGTGACTGACCTTTGCGGGGTGTGTGTCGGTCTTGGAGCATTTGCCCTTGCCGTCGTGGCCGCCCGAGTAGCCCGGCGGGCAGTGGTACATCTTGGGAGCCGTCGACGAGTGGTAGCTGACACACACACACAACACACGTGACCGTCTCTTTCGCCTGCCTGCCTGCCTTTCTCTGGCTGTGTGGTCATCCTCCCTCAGCCCTCATCATTCATACCACTTGCCGTCGTGTGCAGGCTTGCCGCCGTGGCCGTGTTTGCCATTGCAGGTGTAGAGGGGGGCGTGGGTCATGGACTTGGAGCAGATTTTGCCGTGCTTGCCGTGCATTTCGTACTTGTCGGGGCACACGTACTTAACCGGCGCCATCACGAACTTGCTGCACTCGTGGCCAAGCTTGCCGCTCTCGTAACCCGGCGGGCACTTCTTCAGCTGAGAAGGAGGAGAGCAGGAGACAGACACACACACACACACACACGTCGACATGGCCAGGTGGTGTCCCCCCCCCCCCCCCCC